GACGCTAAAATTGTACGTCATTAATATTTGGATAAAACTGGTTTTTGAGCCTAGGCACTTATTTTGTAATTACGGATTTGCTTGCGAGTAATTTTCACTTGAAATACAATTGTTTTTACAAAATATCTCAATTATTATAAAAAAATTGGTAGAAGTTTATTTCGACTGAAATTATAAAATTAGATTTTGCAATATTTGTTTTCTGATAACTTTTATAAAGTCAAAACCAGGGGCATAAATAACACTTCCGCAGCCCCTGCGCCGTGGGGGCGCAAATTGCAAAAGATTATGCAGACTGCACAAGTTCGAACAATGTAAAATATATTTAAAGCTGATAACCAACGAGAAAAAATGGCCTCTCAGCAGTAATAACAAGCTTTAATTTCAAGCGCTTATTTATACATCGTAAGAATGTCACCTAGAAATTTGTTTGATTTGAATGAGTTTGTCACCTCAAAACAGGACCTAAAATTATTCATTAAGCCACAGTCGACAGAATGTTCTGAATATTATTGTTATTATTATAATTCTTATTAAATAAAGACGTGCGTATTCTCACCTTTTTGAGAAAATGAGGTGACTCGTTTTTAATTCGGTCAATAAAAAATTGTTATAACATCATAGATATAGATAGTCCGAGAGAAAAAGAGAAAAAAAAAACCAAACGGTCAAGTTTGGCATCGAACGTGGGACCCCCGATCCGCGTTTCGAGTTCTTACTCACTGAGCCATGGTTGAAATATTAAACGTTAATGGTAAATTGGTACTATACTGTATTTTTTTTTTGAACATTTGGACGTTTCGGAAAAAACTCAAAGCGGATTCGAACACCACAAGTACACGAGTATAATACTGTATAACATTTAAATATTTTAGAATAGAAGTCTTTGAAATGACGTCATCAAATTGTCGGTGAGGATGATTAACCAAATTTTGGTTAGCGTTTTACCATCTACATGATCTACGTACAAAATTTTACAACAATCCAGTAGTCCAGTAGTTTCGGAAATTACATGTCTAATAGAAATTGACAGACAGACATACAGACGGACGGAAACGGGAGACTACTTATTCGTATTCAAGGGGTCATGAAACGTCGAGAAAACATAAAAGTGGTCATTCGTCCGATGGACTCGAGCACTATACTTCCCTAGCTTACACCCAGGAAGTAATGAACCAATTTATTTTAATAAGTAAATCAAAAACGGCTCATCTAATTTTTCGGTAACTTTGGGAACATAGTACTGCGGTTAGTGTAACACCGTACGTATCAAAATACGTATAACACTATTAAAAAAATCTCCCCTACAACTTAAGGCACAGTTAACATAAAGCATTGAGGTTATATACGAGATGAATATTTTTTTTGTATAATGAATTTAAATTAAATACACAAAAATGTATAGTACGAGTATGTCTGACAAAAAAGTTTGTACGTATGTATATAAATGGAACATCATTGAAAAATATTTTTATCTTATGCATATGATTTTGAGGCCACATAGTACATAGCTACTAAGGGTAACAGTCTGGAAACAGTATATATAAAGTGTAAGGAAAAAACTGGTGGAATATCAATCCTGAGATAGCTCTCATCTACATTCGTCTTAACTGATGCAGCGCCGAGAAAAGATTCACTAATAAGTCAATTGCCAGGAGCCACTGACCCATAAGTGACAACGAGCGCATCCGGATTGAAACTGTTGTTATTTTACACCGCCATCGTGTGCAGCATCCCAATGAGCATTTTATCCCAAGAAATGCACGCATCACGCGTAAACTCACGATCTACAATCTTCAAATTACTCCCTTGTTCTTTACTGCCGCCACAGCGCAATCCATCATTTTGGCAACTTCTTTATTAGCGAAAGGTCGTTGCGCCGAGGGTCGTAAATAAAAACATCAATTACTCACCACTCCACACACGATACCGCAGCATCAAAGGAACGCTTACCAATTGATTTGTGTTGGTTCATAGCGCATAAAGCTCGTTAGGTGGGTCAGCCCTGCTTTGGTGCTTTTCTAATCCGTCCATCCTCAATATCCTTGTTTGGATATCGGACGTGCACATCGCACCATGTTCCGCATGCTGGAATATATCAACACGACTTGATGTCAAGAGCAGAGGTCGCGATTTCTTCTAACTCCGCTAAGGTCGAGGAAAAGCTGCAGAAAATCACAGAGACGGGTTCATAACTTCGTGTCGAGATATTTGAATTGTTCGTGTGGTTGCAGTATTCTTACTTTGCTTCAGGGGAATAATGTAAGCAATATTATGGAAATTCCGTGTAACGTTATTGGAAACGGAAACTCTTGGATGTTTTTGTTTCATTGCCGGAAATCTAATGTGTTTGTAAGTGAGATTCACACAGGGATAAAATTTTTCTCACGGTGAAGGTAAAACAAGCTTCGAGAATTCATCTTTGGAGTATTGTCATGTATAAAATTTTCTTTTTAAGCAAATTGTCTTCTGTGTTATATTCAGAGGACTATACAGCGCATCTTTTGCTGTTCATTAAATTGTATTGGAGAAATTATAAACAGAGGGAGAGCACCAAAGACGTGTCATGAATGAGTTTCACACAATTTTATTTAATTTTATTTTAAAATTTTACTTTTTAAATAAAACGCAAATCGTTTCGAATAAACTCGTTACTTAAATAAAGATTCCCTATTAAAAGGAGTATTAGGAAAAAAAATAAGCGGAAGCTATATAATAAGATCACTAATTTCACTTTTTGGCGTTTCATGGCTCCTAGAATATGGAAAAGTAGGTCTCCCATATCCATTTGCTCCGTTTTCGCCATCTCTTTTTTGTCCTCTCGACTGATTGTTATGAAATTTTAGTTCTATTTTAGGAATATCGTGGGCGTCGTGAAACGCCGACTATAGTATGTGTTTCCACTAAAAATGTAATCATGTGATCTCAAAATTTGCCATAAATTTTCTAAAAAATATGTAAAACAAAATGTTTCCCTACATGTGAATTATTTATTTTTAACTTAGAAATTACAAAACCTATTGTACGCTCTCTAGTTAACTTGTACACTCAATTCTGTCTTTACTCTATTTGTCCTTTTCAAAATCTTGTTGTTATTTTAAAATTTTGTTAAGTAATTCTTGTTTGATATCTTGTTTGTCTAAATATAAAACACGAGATAAATACAACATTTACGCTTTAATAATATGTATTTATTTATTTTTAGATTCATTTATACAAGATGATTAGGAAATTAATTATCAATTTATTTTATTGGTTAACTCAAAAAGGGTTTATTTGATTTTCCAAAGATTATGAGGAATTTTTGTTTTAATATATAGTTGTTATCTTAAAAAGTAATGCAGAATTAACTGATATATTTATCTAGCCAACAATTTCACGATGAAAAATCTGCATAATAAAGTTTCTATAAAGCCATCATCAAATTCATGGTGGCACTTCCAGCTTCACAGGAAATGAGGAAACTTTTTTAAAGAGGCTGCAGTTTTTTTCACTTTGTTGTTTTTACAAAAGTTATCGGTTTGTCGACACGGTTTAAAAATGGCTTGTCAACATGACTTGGGAAGTCTGTTGCCATTTAAAGTCGAGACAAAATAAGTACTTCAACCATATTTCTAGTTACAATTGGTTCACTTATTATTGTTAAAAAAAAGAATTGTTGTTATGTAACCGACAGTGTTACTGAATCCAAAATGTAATGATTTTTATCTACCACACATTTATTTAAAAAATTGGTCAATATATTCGGGTATCAGAAGCGGCTTTGAAAAAATAAGTGCCTCACTGTAGTAATAAGGTGGCAAAATAATTAACAAAAAATATTCCAGTGCCAGCCTTGATACCAAAATTATTGATGGGCAAGTCAAACTAAGTATGCATAAAAATAATAATATAGTAATTGAATAGCTTTTGCAAAAATTCTAAAACTAGTAAACATTAATGTGGAAATTTAGCTGAAAGTAAATTATTTTGTTATTTATAAAGGACCAAAATGATCTAAAATCTTAAATCTTAATAGTTTGTAAATATGTACTCATAAACATCTTTTCTAACTTTAACGGCCGTTGAAATGCCAAAAATTCATCTAAAATATTACCAGTTTCAATATACTTACTCTTCGCAGTAGTATCACCAAATCTAAAATCGCAACATAAAATGTACAGTTACTATCACATAAATCACGTACAGATGACAATTTGAATTTGTATCCATGCTATTGATTTTGACACAACGTAAAAGTGAGGTTGTACGGGATTTATGTGATAGTAACTGTACCTCTAGTAAGACGCGAGTATCCAGGAAGATTCATTTAGCTTTATTTTAATTGTAAATTTACAAAACTGTTGCATCATTTAGACTCTATACTATAATGAATCAGAGACTTCTGTAGTCTAGGTGGAAGTTCGACGTGCAATCTAAGCCCACGGCGCTTATTATCAAGATAATTTTGGAACCGGAAACCCCGCGGGGAAAGTGACGGAAATATGTAAATTTGTTCACGCATCGAATAATAATCGGACCAATTTTGACCGGTCAACCGTTGAATATGATCATCACATCGCAAATCGTGTCGACATTTAATTTTTATACGTCGATTTTTGCCTTTGAAACCTCTCGTCCTCCACGAAACGGAAAACCTGAATTGGGAACGCAAGCCTTCACGGCTCATAGAGCACGGGGCTTCAATCACAGACAAGAAATGAAGCCCTAATTAAATTTAAACATAAAGGACCATCACGCCTCTTAATTGACTGTGGAGTGGGATTAGATCGGAATTGTCGCACCAATAATTCACTTTCTTTCGTAAGAAAAACTGTTCTTCGCAGTTTATGAAATCGCTTTTTAACAAAATTGCTAAATTGATTATCAGTTGGGAACCATGCTTGATTGCTTATTGTTTCGAAATCGATGTTTGAAATTTCGCATTTCACGGGATTTAAAAATATGTGTTTGCTATAATTTAAGTGCAAATTTTTAGTATTCATTTTTTATTGTTTCAGATATCGATTATGTGAACAGGAATAATTTTCTCAGCGAGCTAGACAATGGAGTTCTCTTGTGCCATCTGGCCCAGGTGATTTGCGATAAAGCCAAGTATGCTATCGATACGGGTCATGCTAAAGGTGTAAGTAATTAAATGTAAGATTTGTGTTGCGATATTGATACAATTTTTATGTTTTAGCCTGTTCCGACTGTCAGGGGAAAATGTTTTGAGAAAGCGATGCGTCGAAGTTTTTTCTCGAGGGACAACATGGAAAATTTTATTAAGTTTTGTAGATCTTTAGGGGTTCACGAGAATTTGTTGTTCGAGAGCGACGACTTAGGTGAGTGTTTTAGTTGCAAAGTGAAGAGAAAAACATTTATTCTCACGTTCTTTTTGATACGAAACGTAAATACATTTTTCCAAACCACTTCATCTGAACATATTTGTACTATACAAAACTGTTTGACTCAGAAAATGGCATGATTTTGATTTACGTCAAACAACACCTGATAATCTTCTCTTATCTCGTCTTTAGGGTTCTGTAGTATCTTTAAGTTCGTTAAAGACGAATGTTACGGAAACGTTCTTGATATGATAAAATATAAACCTACCGGAGAATAAAATGTGTACCTACCACAATTCTCAAACAGATTTTGAAGTTTCTTAACACTTACATTCTATTATTTTGAGATTGATGTTAATGTAAGAGTTTTTGTTAATTCTCCTTATACTAAGCCATAAATGAATTATAAAAAATTTTTAGTCACAAGTATTGATTCTTTTGTATTTTATTTAGTGCGTATGTACAATTTTTAGATTTGTTCACAAATCTATGCAGATGTTCTATAATAATTAAAAGTTAGTTAACTAGTTTTGGCAGAAACGAGTAAATCGATCTTTTTCAATAAGTTTTAACTAGTAGTTGGTTTTTCATATCCATTGTATTCTATGTAGACGTAATCTCTGATCCTACCAAAACGACTAATTTGAAATTTTTATTGTACGTAAGATGGTAAATTTTTTTGAAACATATTTTAGTAATTTTCAGTGTGGTATGCTGTTTGACGTTGATCTATCACTTAATTATCTATCGTCATTTTTAACATATATGGATTAAAAATAGTAAACTTTCAATAAATTTTAAAATTTGGCCAAGAAAGTACACGGCGGTTATTCTAAAATGTTAGGAATACAATAATATTGATTTAATGGTTACATAATACAAACAAAATTTTATTATTCCTTTCAGAAAAATAATAATTTCCTGTTTATCAAAAAATATACCCTAAAGTGCGGTACTGTTTGTGTTTTTAATTTTTACGGTTACTTAACACATATTTGGAATTGGTTGGTTGTGTAAATGTCATTTCCCTATTTTAGCAACATTTTACAAACTTAATTACATCGATTCGTAGACTCACGCAATTGCTCACTGATTACATCTTCATTGAAGCTTCCATTGTTCCATCCAGTGGTTCCGAATTTTGCAAGAATCTAAAACTTATTCTTTGATTTTATGGTGTCTATTTGCTGAGTCCGTTTAATAAAATCAGCAGCAGCCACATAATAGTGATTCAGTCATTGTTGAAAATACAGCCACCACATTAACTTAACACGGGGAAACTATTACTTCTACAACGAACATTTACATCACAAACTTTATTCACATAATAACTAGGATAACAAACAATACGGCTTGTTGCGCAAGATAACGTACTTTTGTCGTTATTAATAAACAGGAGAATGAAGCTTAATTAAAATTACATATTCCAATACAAAGGTTGTTTTTAATAACAGCAAGCTAACACTACACACACGAGCTCAAAATGAATTCTGCCAGTGCAGAATTATTATCAGCATCAATCATACCTGAGTTTTCTATTAGTGTTGACCCTCCCTACATTAAGGTCCTCGAACTTCAACCAAAATTATCATACACACGTGAAAGGTTGCTACGAAAACTTTTTAAGTATTTTTGCGTTTCATATTTTGAAAAAAAGAAACAACTCGCGGCTCGTAGTCTACTCTACTGGGGGGTCAATTTATGTTCATAAGTATATAATTGCAAACTTTCTATAAACCTACCTTATATTTTGCAAAACGTCTTCAATTGCAGTTTTTCTTTCTTTTGTGCTTGAAAAATGCTCAATTACTACATCATTTAAAAACTATAAAGTTTTCACAATAAACTTTTCAATATTTAACATTGCTAACGCTATCGCAGTTGTTATTTGTAATGTACACAAAATATATAACAGTTTATAACATTATATACTTACATATTTATTCCAACTTATAGGAGTTCTCATAAAAAAATAAATAACATCCGCAAAATCAAATTTTATAATTTTTCGAAAGTGCTGGATATGTTTCATAGTACTTCAGAGTGAGGGAAGTTCTGTCGAAGTAACGTTCGACTAATTTTTTGGCCTAGGAAGTATCCAAATTTTTATGAAAAAAAAAACACAAATTGTATAGCAACATTTTATAATTTAACCCATTTTTAAAAACTGCAAAACCGAATGCTTATAGGTTATAGTGAGCATGGTAAATCGTTAATCAAAATGTATCTATTTATTCCCCCGAAAATTTGGGAATAAAAATGTTGATGACGTTATTACAAAATTTTGTAATGGAAACACTCATTTGAAACATACAATTAATATTTATTTATTTTATATATATGTTTGTATTTTAACTTACACGAAGGGGTTATCGTATAAAAATAAAATTCGCAAAATCAAATCTTACAATTTTTTAATAAGCTACTTATGATGTACTGTACTTCAGGGGCGAGGAAAGTTTTGTCTAAATAACTTTAGACCATTTTTTTTAAATGCTGAAAAACCTGTTATTCGCAAGCGATATCTAAAGAAACTATGTACTATCGTAGGTTCATTTTTCATGGTTTGTAGAACTTTTACAGATAGCAGAAGACAAAAATGTAAGTTTCTCATTTCTGCCTGTTTGAATCTATCACCTGTGAATTTTAGGTGCATTTTAAGATAATTGTGGAAATGGTAGACTGTTAACAGATATTTATCTGTGTTTCTTTGTCTTCTCCAAAAAAGTAATATTCTTTGCTGAATGTTGCTAAGATAATCTTACTTTAAAAATATACCTGAATATGTTTTCTTACCTGTTATTTCAGGGGGTTCTCTATTTTTACCTTTACTCATTTGAATTGTTAGAAAAAATTAATCTACATTGTCAAATTTTATTGTTTATCAATGAAAACACAGGAAGACATTAAAATCCATCCTTTTCAAAAGTTGATTATCTAAAACAAGTTGTCTTAGAAATACCTGTTCATGATTAGCGTTACATTGTAGGTACACATCAAACTTAACATATTTGTCTACATTAAAAAGTAGCTGACATCGTTTGAAACATAGTTTAAAATAAATATGTATTATTCAAAAACGATATACGAAAGTACTAATTAGAAATCTAATTGAAAGTTTTCATATTGTCATGTCCGAGTTCATTGAAATCGCCAATTTTTTGGAAACATTTTCATTATTCCACTGACGAAGATGAGTAAATTGGTGTCGTCTTTAAAAATATCTTTAGAACTCTTGTTAAAAATTGCTAATTGATGACATTTTCAAAGTTCTAGAGTTTGTAAAGTTTCTAGACAACTGTTACACAGAGCCCATAGAGTGTCACTCTCGCGTCAATACAGTTTTAAAAATAACTTTGGGGACCTATACTGTCTTATCGTGACTGCAGTCTCAACTAAAACCCTGTTTTCTATTTCAAGTCCTCCACAACCAACCCCGCAACGTGATCTTGTGCCTCCTCGAAGTAGCTCGTCTTGCCACTCGTTACGGCGTCGAACCGCCGGGCCTAATCCAACTCGAAAAAGAAATCGCGGAAGAAGAACAAAACAATTCCACCGATTCAGCGCTCAGTTCTCTCCTTTCGTGGCAGTTCCAAGCCTCACCCCCTCGAATGGATCCGTCCGATCTCAAAATGCGACATAGTAGTTCAGCGAATGCCATATCTTCCATCGCGTACGACAGATGGAATACGGGACCCCACGTGGTCCTCGTACCTGAACGGCCTAAAACCGAAAAATTGGGCATCAACACCGGCGTTTCACCGAGCGGTGCCAGCGACGGCGTTCCGAGTGATAACACAGAAGATGAATGGTCCAGAGGCAGCGGAGAAGATCCCGACTCGGAAATAGACACGGGAATGAGGGGTGGAGCGGGAGACGCTACTACGGAATTAGACAGGAAAGTACAACTCGCGGCTAGACTGATGCAGAGGAATTGCAACTGTGCAAACGGGAAATGTTCTAGATTGAATGTTAAGAAAGTGGGCGAAGGCAAATATAATATCGCCGGAAAGAACGTATTTATAAGGGTAAGTTGTGAATGAGTAGGTGTTTTAGTTGTAGTAGTGTAGTGTGCTTAGATCTGGTGATCTGGCAAAACCAGCTTTGAACAATCAATCAGTGGGAGAGCAGTAAAAACAGGATCAAAGACAGTCATGGATTTTTCAAGATTTGTCTTTGAATTTTCTTCTTGTCGTATTAAGTTACCTTGAAATTTTGAGTAGAATCCATGACTGTTTTTGATGGTGTTTTTATTGCTCTTTCGATATATTTCACTATCACAATTTTAAATAAACTGTAATAAAATAAGGAAAACAAAACAGTTATTAAAGGGGTAACAATAGTATATTAACAAACAAGTTTGATATGACGTTATTTTATTATTGAATCCCAAAATTAGAACAGTCGCCAGACGAGTTTTCTAAGGGATGAGCGCTCTAAAAATGTTTAAGACACCACAACATGGTATCATTACCGAAAATATGAAATAAGAATGTGGTAATCCCACAAAACAACTGCTTGCTATTTAATTTCTAAACTCATCTTTGTTATTCCTACTGGAAACTAGCGAGACTCCCAGGAAAAGTTTTGCAGGCTTGGCTCATTTTAACTTTTCACATAAAATTTTGTTGTGTGCTACTAAATATTTTTTACAGAAAACACATTCAAAACTTATATTATCGTAACTGTTTTTTTCAGCTGTTAAAGGGTCGTCATATGATGGTGCGAGTGGGAGGAGGATGGGACACATTAGATCACTTCCTCCTACGTCATGATCCATGCCAGGTGAAAATTGTATCCAGAGATAGTCCGGATCGGCCAGCTAGTGCTTCCAAATTTTTACACATTCGCGCTAAATATCGTAGCCCACCACCACGCGAATCAGTTATACGTTAAATACACATACTGTGCACTAATAAACTCGTTTTTTAGTGAATATTTGCTACCATTTTTACACCGAAAAGTTCAAATGTTTATTTTGTTTCGTTAAGTTTGTAGTGTAATTATGTAGTACACTTATAGTAGTAGGAATACTAATTTCAAGTTTTTTACAGTAATGTATTTTATTTCATTTTTTGTATATATTTTTCTACTATTAAAACACTACTGACTTATGTATTTTTTACCTTTTGCATTTTACGTCACTGTGCTTGTCTATAATTCGTTCAGATCATTTCATTTGACAAATGTGGATAATTTCAGTTGGCTTTATTAAACGACAAACTTCTTAAAAAAAAAAAAACATTTTTGTTTATAAGTAAAAATGTACATTGCAGCGATGAAACATTTTTTGAGCTGTTTGAAAGCTGCATTTTCTTTTCGTTCAATGTTGCATTTAATTGTTACTGGTTTTTCTTAATCAAAACTTTTTGTAACTGTATAGGTACATATCGTGATAAAAAAATTATAAATTCGGCCTTTGATATGTGAAATTAAAAGGACTTTCCATAATTCAAACGAATATTTTTTTGGAATAACTTTCATTTGTTAAATCAGATTTTTTTTGCTATGAAAACTACAATAAAAAATTTAGCACATACATTGCTCGTCTAGTCAAAAACAAAATTGGTTATTAGGCAAAACTTCCCGCACGCTTGAAGCATATTCAAACAATTCCACTTATAAAATATAAAATTTGCGAATTTTATTTCTTTATAACAACTTTTGTACGTTAAAATAAAAATAGAGATAGAATATTGAACTACAAGTACAGAAGTTTCAAGTGAGTCTTTCTTCACAAAATTTTGTGATGACGTCATTAACTTATTGTTAATGGGTACAAATATGTCAGTTTGAATGTGTAGACTCATAATCATAATATTTTGCACATTTTAGATTGGATCTATATAGCAAAGTTTTGAGATGATGTTTATGTATATCGCTGAATTAAAAAAAAAATTATATCAAGATTATATATTATAAATGGTAAATAGAATTTACCTAGTGAGATTTGGAGATGTAAGCAAATTCCAGTGGTTTCGGAGATTATTAAGTCTACTAAACTCGCTAATAGATAGACGACATTTTCGAGCTGTATAAGCCGTTCGTGAAGTAATAAAAAGTACCTGCGCAACTCCCTGTAGTTTTTCTTAATATCATTCTTTACAACACTACAAGAACTCTTATTTGATGATTGAAATAGCGAAGGCTCATGTGTAATAATTATCACAACAATTATGCATATTTATTAACAAGCATTGGCACAATAATAAAGTGAATTTTAAAATTTAAATATTGCAATGCATCGTTCATTTTCAGTTCTTGAAGGATTTACAGACCTTTGGATTCACCTTGGCCTTTAGACTTTCACCCCAAAAAGTATCCTTCACCTCTATTATTTTTCAATTAATTTAACTTTAAATTACATTTCGTGTTTTTTTTTAACTTACAAAGTAATAACGCTTTAACCTTAATACATATACATGAAATGATCTGAGCATAAGTTTTCATGATTTTCACTCATTATTAACTAGTATTCTAATACATCTTGCTATGTGAAAAATAAAATTATTTTTAGGAACACGAAAAGGAAATAAAGCCGAGACACTTCCCACGACAACGAATCCAGAAAGTACCAAATTTCTCAAAGAAATTTACATACTATTCCAGATTTTCAAAATTAGTAAGACCTGGTGAAACAGCAGTATGAAAACAACGTGCAATATAAAATTATATTTTAGTCGTAAAAAATATAAAAACGCAATACATAAAAAAATGAGGTGCTTAAACTACACAATTTCGCTGTACTTAAATACTTTGGTTTATAGTTGTAATATTTGCATAATAAATATTTTTTTAAATACACAGATCAAGCACAAACAGGCAGACCTAACAAATATGTTTAAAATTACCTAATTAAAAGAACATTATAAACTGATATAAATCTTTAAAACTGTCTTAATATAATAAACATTTTTAAAACATGACTCCTTATTTCTTCTTACTTTTGCCTAAAGTTAGAGTGTGGTGACTGGTACCCATTTGTTGGTACTGAGCTTTGCGTCTATTGAATTCGACTATTTCATCTTCGAGTTTCTTACGGCTGTCTTCAATTTTCTTCTTTTCGTCCGTGTGGTCCTTCTTCAATTTATCAAACTTCGCATGTAACTAAAAACAAACAATAAGATGTCCACAACAAGTAAATCTCATTACCTCTTTTTCTGCTTCTTTTAATTCGGCTTCCTTCTCCTTTACACGAACGACAAACATCTGTCTCATTTCATCTTCTTTCTGCTGCAACTCTTGTAAATGATTCGATCTTTTTGCCTCGAAAGTTTGCTGAAAACTGATTGGCTTATTATCAGCATCCACATCGCTGAAACCCATCTGTTCCAAACGCTTCCTCCTGTATAGTTCATAATGTCTACAGTGAGTTTTTTCTCTCATGTCCTCCATATTCGTCCGAATTAACATCTCTCGCAACTTGACAAAGTCACAATGAGATTCGTTCTCTACTTGTACGGTACCCCAAGGGTACTGCCGTGCCCGTACCATCTTATTACCCACACGAACGAAGTCGGTACTACCAATTACAGCAAAAGGTATATGGGAATTCATCGTACTGTTTACCTCAGAAACAGACTCGTCGTCGACTGGAAACTCGTAAATATGCACACCGTTATTTTGGAGTTCCCCAACAATCTTGGACTTGAATTTTTGCAGTTCGGTTTTGGAAATGGTGTCCGCTTTAGCAATAATCGGAATAACATTTACTTTTTGGTCGAGTTTTTTCATGCATACTAAATCTATAGACTTCAAGCCATGTCCCGTTGGACAAATAAAATAGAGACAAACGTGAATCCGTGTGTCATGGTAAGATGAAAGAGAGCGTTTTATTTTTAATTCTTCTTGGAGGTAGTTCTCAAATTGGGCGTCAATGTAATCAACAATTGCTTTAAAACTGTCTTCTTTATTGATTTGGTCGCCGTATCCCACGGTATCGACAATTGTTAATTTTAACCTAACGTTACTTTCCTGTAGTTCGTACGTGTGGGCTTTTAGTTTAACTGTTGGTAACGTGTGCGGGCTTGGGACAGCCTCGAAGTTTGTATTGAAAAGAGAGTCCATTAAGGTAGACTTGCCCAAGCCTGTTTCACCTATTTAAGCCATGTATGGTTACGTTTTAACGGATATTCACGTAACACTTACAATAAAGGAACGTAAGTTTCAAACGCTAGCAGAATACGAAATGAAGGGTACAGGTTCAAAAAGGATAAAATCCAAGACCAGCGAGTTCTAACTTGCATGTGGTGGTACTTGCAGAATTTTTAAGGTAATATCTTAGCTTTAATAAGAACTTTTCAAGAAAATATTTATATTTAGTTGCCATTTTTATAAAGTAGTACTTTACTCAGGGGCGGCTGGTGCCAGCGTCTACAAACACACTGGACATGGCAAAACAGTAATTTTCAATATTTAAAAAATTATCCGGAAATTTGTGTCATAATTATCAAAACTAATTTTTTTATCTCGCTCCACTTGTACAAAATGTATCAAAACTTACATCTAAAGATGTTGTCTTGGATATATATGATGAAGTGCTGATAAAAGCGAATGCGGAGACCAAATCATGGCTCACTTAGACGTTTTGTTTACACCGTTGTCATGGAAACCCTGCGTCTAGTCGCGGTATTGGGCTTAAATCGGGTCCTGTTCCGACAGTGCACATCAGCAATAACTAAATTGCGGGTTTTAATTTTCATTCTGTCAGTGAAATTGTTTGATTTTAAATAAGAACAATGAATTCAGTTGAATATTTAATAAAAAATCGTCTTTTGTGTCACGATGGTAAAATTGTAGTGAAAAATTTTAGGGAGAGCCACCCCCGATTTATTAATAAAAAAAAGTGTTTATGGCAAAACAAAAGACTTTCATAGATATTTTAATAGACGTAACACGTATAATAAATATAAAAAAAAAGTGTTTTGTTTTGTGTGTCTCCTCAGTGATGAGTTAAAATCATCGCCCTGGATTAATACTTTTTTCTATAATGCAAAAACCATACGTAGGTGGACTGAAATTACTTACTAAAAATGGTAAGTATTTTTTTAAATGCTTGGTATTTGATATCCTAATCGATAACAGTATAACTGATACAAGCCACCACACTGTATGTTCGAAAAAAAATCTGTGTTCTACAATGATTTTCAATTCAAAAAGTTTTTATTATTATATTTGTTAACAGTTTTTTAACTAATTTTCAAAAAACAAAATTACTATTACCATGGACAACTGATTAAGCTGTTTTCACTGGGTAGTTAAATTCACGCGACATACGTCATAAGGTTCTTGTACATCCTGCAAGTTTTATAGAAAACTAAGGTTTGATTAATTTTGTGGTTTGAATAAAAATGCTTTCCACCATTTAATTATGTACGAAAAAAAAAATGAAAAATTAATAGTCAATGATCAATTGCTAACTTTATACTAATATCACTTTAAATACAAATAGTTTTGGAAATTTCATTCTACCCTATAAAATTTTATTGACGATAACGAGACGGACATAGTACAATGGTAAGAAATATTTATAGCTCACACCAGTTCACCTGAATTTGTCCGAAAACGTTTAGCAGGTAGTCGTACTCATAAAATAATGCTCATTTTCGTTCGTGAGTAACGATGGTCCCTGTTCGGACCTGGATTATTCTGCCTTCTGACATCTGGGGATTACCGACACGCGACAACTCTAAGTTGTAAATATCTCTTCCTGTTGTACTACTATCCGTCTCGTTATTGCCAATAAAACTTTGTAGGGTGGAATGAAATTTCCAAAACTAAGTATACTAATGATATTTTACAACTTTAGTCAAAGAACCCAACTCGCAAGACACTAAAACCATAAATTATACAGGTACGACCGCCAAAGACTTGGGGCAACACAGGAAATTCTGTAGACACGCGACATGGCTTACAAGATTACAAGGACCCTAATGCGAAAAGCGGACTAATCATGTCATAAAATTTTATTAATATGCATTTAAAGTAATGTTACAATACTAACTGTAATAGTTATTAATATAACTGGCTAAAAAAGGTCAGAGCAAGTGAAAAATTTTTGATTTTTCTATAAACCCTTACTATGTAAAAGCACAAATATATTATTATTATTATTATTATTATTATTATTATGGCAATTTTTTTTAATTTGTGTGCTGAAAGCAATAGATTTCAAGAGACTTTTTTTTTCCTTTCATCATAAAATAAAATTGGGGACAAAATCACTTATGCTTTTGGACTGGACCCTTCAAATATTAACATAAAAGAGTACAGAAATCTGGGCAATTATTATTTAGAAAGGAGTTGAATTAATTGAAACTTACGTCCTTACGTTGTTCTACATCCAACACACACTACATACCTATGCACATGATATTGAAAACAAAGCCGTTTTGTACGCTTTTCGAGACCAGTTGGTCAGGTAAGCTATCGAATCCAACATGCCCTGACAAAATCAAGTTTCGGATTTGGTTTTCCATCTGGAAAAAAGAAACATTGCAATCAGTTTTATTGTTTACTCATTTTGCAACAAATAAAGACAACGCCCTTAAAAATGATCTGTTTCTGGATTCCTAGTTGACGATGGAAAATTTAGTATTTTTAATATTACAAAAAAGTTAAAATTTGATTAATACTTCAAATTTGTACTTACAGCGGGTGCTTCGACGTCCACTGGTGGCATTGTTGACCGTTAATTTGTTTGTTATTGAAGTCACGAAAACAGCACAAACAGCCCTTCCTCCTTGCTTGACACCGTTGACACTATTGACAGCTACGCTACACACTGTAGCCAGTATAACACTTTAAAATCCCCAGATACTCCGTCCTTCCTTTTCGTTTTTATAAATTTTTTTGTTGTATTTATAATAGCGGTGTGCCCACCAACCAGGTGGCGCTGGCGCTATTTTAAACAAACGTCAAAAGTGACATGTTGACATGTGTAAAGTGCTCTTCTTAAAAATTTAAACAATTTATAGTATTTGCCATATAATCCACTTCAAACATTGGTCACGTGCAGCTCAAGGTGTTTTCACTGGCCTTAGCCTTCGCTTACCCAGTGAAGCATAACTCGCTGTATTTAATGCCAATACATGTCCAAAGTTCGACACATATCTCCAATATTTTTGATTTTAGGCGATTCGCTACGTTGCCAAACAAAAATGAATCAAGTTAAAGATGTGACCATCAAGCCACTTCAAAAATCAATTTACTTAAAGCCGTTGACGATGCATTTTACACAAAATGGAATGAAACGAACATGGGACTTGCTTGAAGTGCATGACAGTGTTGCAATTCTCCTACATAACACACAAAGGGATACATTAGTTTTTGTTAAACAATTTCGACCACCAGTATATTATGGCAGCATTCCAGAAGAAGACCGCAATGATGTGATTGATGTCAGTAAATACCCGCCAGAGTTAGGAATAACGTTAGAGATGTGTGCGGGGCTTGTGGATAAGGATAAGCCCTTGGAACAAATAGCCAAAGAAGAAATTTTAGAGGAATGCGGTTATGAAGTGCCGTTGTCTAGTCTGGTTAAAATTGGCTCTTATAGGTCAGGAGTGGGTACTTTGGGTAGTTTACAAACTGCTTACTATTGTGCAGTGACTGATGATATGAAAGTGTCACAAGGGGGTGGAGTTGGAGACGAAATTATTGATGTTGTCGAGATGACATTGCCAGAAGTTAAAAAATACATTGAGCAGGATAAAATTCCAAGTCCGCCTAGTTTTCTATTTGCCATTTATTGGTTTTTCGTAAATAAGACTAAATTGTAATTTTTGATTTATTTAAGTGTTGTATGTTCATTAATTATTGTCAATAAATTTGTGTGTATAATTAAAACATGAGTCGGGTCCCCCTTTATGACGCTTATTTTGTTTAATAACCAACATCAACTAACATTGTGCAAGATTTCCAAGAATTACTACGTGGAATACGTGGACTTTCCCTTTCATAAACCTGAAGTTAGAAACATCATGACGCTTTTGACGTCATTGATGCGTCATTTTTCACCAACCAATATAAAGGTATCATGTGAGTGAAGTTAGACCAGCATTGCATTAAAAGTCAGAAGACTTGTTACACCTTAACATAACCTCTATCTTATCTTCGGATTAGCGGATTAGTAACCGTTTTTGCGTTTTTCATTTAGTCCATCAATAAAAACCTAAAAATGAGTCACTTTATGTCTCCCATGCCCAGTCGCGAATTCTTATGGGATGTATTTCAAAGGTATGTCTTTAGTGGTAGTGCACTTGTCCTTCTAACGAATTTTGCAAATTTTTAGAGTTGACCGTGACAGAAGTGGTTATATTAATGCTGATGAGCTTCAATTAGCACTGTCTAATGGTACTTGGAGCCCTTTTAATCCGGAAACAGTAAGATTGATGATTGGTAAAGTTCCAAAATGTAAACAACCTTATGTTAATTGTGTCGTATTTTTTCAGGAATGTTTGATAGGCGTAATAGAGGCCAAGTTAGTTTTGATGATTTTGGCGCCTTGTGGAAATATGTTACAGACTGGCAAAACTGCTTCCGATCATTCGACCGTGACAGCTCTGGAAACATCGATAAACAAGAACTCAAAACAGCCTTGACTACTTTTGGGTATCGATTATCAGACGGTCTGGTGGAAACATTAATTAGAAAATTTGATAGACACGGAAATGGCACGATTCTCTTTGATGATTTTATCCAATGCTGCATTATTTTATATGTAAGTTGTTTGAATAACTGGAAATAATATTTTCAAGTTTAATTCTTTCAGACACTCACTGCAGCGTTCAGACAGCATGATACTGACCAAGACGGTGTGATCACCATCCACTATGAACAGTTCTTAAGCATGGTATTTAGTTTGAAAATTTAAGATATGGTTGCCTTTCAAGTGTGAACCAACTAATGTTTCAGGCGACATTCCTTGTTATACCCAAATCGTAAGGTGCCACAAAATTTCATAATTACAAGATTAAGACAAAATTGCGCTGTCCTATTGGTTAAGTCAATATATTTAGTGTGCTAAAATTTCTCGTTGTCATTCGATAGCTTAGATTAAATCTCATTTTTCATATTCTGAATTTGTTATTGCCGGAACAGGTATTAATATATTCCTATTAATGGAGATGTTGTATTTTATGTATTTTTCTATATTCTGTCTCATCAATTAAAATGTTAGTAATAACAATGGTTTTATTTTATGCTTGAATAAATTTAGAACCTATTCAAGAAGTGACTACACCTACACCACATCCTACTTCTATCCATCCTCTGTGTAGCATTGTGGCGTACAGTGTATTAATGTTAAGTTTGTAACGTCTCTGTAATTTAGCACCGGTACATTTCAGATCTGTTACATAATAATGCTCTAATACATGTCCGTAACATCCCAACTGGCCTTCGTCATGCAAGTCTTGTGTTGCTCATTGTTGCGGTTGTCGGATTACGTGTCAGCGGCAGCGACTTGCGCGTTTCGAAAACAGATGCGCACCGCACAGTATTCTGTTTCTTTTTTTTTCAGTGTAAAGTGTGGTTAGGTAAGCTAAAGCGGGTGCTGATTACAGGTGTTAGTGATAAGTGATATGATAACATGTAGTGTTCATCTTGATCGCACGTAACATCACAACAATGCATGAGCCGCATACTTTAGCACATTGCACCTACGGGAGAACGGTACAATCATTTTTATTTTTGTTAATTTCGCTCGCCTTGACCCGCAAACAGGATTTACCATGATTTTTCTAACAACGGTCGTAATTTTGAATGAGATGACCCGTAAATTTATCTTTGAAAAGTAACTGTGTGATCGATTGGGTGCGTGAGTTCTTTGCCATTTCCTAATTGCTGTTTTAATAAATATAAATTAAGGTATATCCGGTCTAATTATACGAGTTGCCAGTAGGGAAAATGTTTCATTTTTTATTTAAATTGTTTGGTGTGTTTCGATGTGGGTGGATTTTTTTGAAGGAAAAAATAAAGGGCTCAAAAGTCGGTATTAAATATATTGTACACATATACTTGTACCTGAATTATTTATAATAATAAAATAGGTCCTTAATCTCACATAAAAAATAGATTAACAACATACATACATATTAAGTTTGTATTTTTTTTTTAATTATTCTCGTTTTCATACATATATATGTACGTGCTCACTGTGAAGTTTTTAAATCCCCAGTAAGCCAAAATTTGACGTCCTTATAGTACAAAATCCACTTTTCTAACAATTGTTGTTTTCGAGTTTGTGGGACAACCAATTACAAACTGTGATACATCGAACTTTCCTCGCTTCTGAAACCCAACAAATACCGTATGTATGTATGTATGCATGTATTCTTATGAAAAATGCATATTTCATAATTACTTCCCGAGCGTAAGCTAAAGAATTGTCAGATTTTGTATGTATATTACAAATATCATGTAGATGGTTAAATGCCAACCAAAATTTGGCTAATCATCCCCACCAACAATTTGATTACGTCATTTCAATGAATGCTATTTTAGAATGACTAGAATGTTACACCAAAATATACTCATATACCTACTTGTAGTGTACGAATCCGCTTTTAATTTTTTCGCTAAACGTTTCCTTTTTTTTTTCTTGCATTGGTATAACGCCATGACTGGAATTATCCATGTTGATAAGGTCATCACAAATTTTTTATTGATCAAATTAAGAACGAGTCACCCCATTTTCTCGAAAATGTGAAGAATACGCACGTCTTTATATAATAATGATAAAATAAGAATTATAATATTCAGAACATTTTGTTCGATTGTGGTTTAATTAATAATTTTAGTCCAGTTTTGAGAAGACCAACTCATTCAAGTGAAACTAATTTCTACGTGACATTCTTTCGATGTATAAATAAACACTTCAGCTTCAGATTGATATTACTTAGTGCTGAAGGATAAGGGGTGTTATTTATGCCTGCGGTTTTTTTTAAAGATCTTGATTTGTTGGATTATACTTATAGCTTTCGACCAATTTTTTATTGATCAAATTAAGAACCCCATTTTTTAGCTTGGCTTATAGAGGGTCACTCAAAAAAAAAAAATGAATCACTCAGTTTATTTTATTGAATAAATCAAGAATTGCAAAACTGAATACTTTGAAATCTTGCAGACGTTTTAAAGTTGTTGTAAGCATGGTAAATTGTTAATCAAAATCTATCTGTTTATTTCCCCAAAAAAATTGATAACGTCATCTCAAAGTTTTGCGGAATAAATTCGACGCAAAATGTGGAAAATATGATAACATTTTTTAGTTGTGATTTATCATATTTTCTGAGATCTGCATAAACAGGTGGCTTAAAAAAATAAATGAAGGAATCAATTTATTTTATTGATTATCAGGAACGTTTCACTTCATTTTCCCAGAAAATTTTGGGAATACAATACTGTTATTTTTAGTATTACACTGCACCAATCCAAATTGATATACGTGTCCTTGCAAAAATGTTGATGACGTAATCGCAAAATTGTGTAAAGAAAAACTAAACTCGAAAATCCTGGATATGTTTTATTGTACTTCAAGAGCGAGGGAAGTTCTGTCGAAAGAACTTTCGACCCATTTTTGTTTAGAATGACGGCAACAGTTTGTCGCTTTAAAAAATAAAAGTGTATTGTTCAAGTACATATCAGCAGCACTGTATCTTAGGATGTGTCGTTTAATAATAAGTTGTAAAATACCTACATATTACATTCAACTTACAAAATCTGCGTAGTTCTTTGCCTATTTTATAAAATTTGGCAGTGTACAAATACAATTTTTTAGAAACGCAGAACAGAATTTGAAATTAACATAATACATATCCACATAAAAATCGTAGATTTTCTCAACATCTTAAATAATAATGATATAATGTGCTCTGGGAACTTTTGCAGTTCACATCTTTCGCTATATAAATTATAGGTACACTTCTCTATACTTTCTCATGTATAATCTATTCTACGTCGGCGTCTTGGTTTTGAAAATAAAAAAAAACCGTTGTTATTGCTTTCCAGTCAGTTTTATATACCATAACATTTAAAGATTTTTTTGTCATTCATTAGATGAATGTCTCTTAGTTGGTTATTTTTTTGGTGTTTTACAGTTCGTAGAATTTGAAAATGTAGGTGTTGTTTACACCTATTGTATTTGAAACCGATTATTTTGAAATTTTATCCGAATTTTAAGATTGTCATAATAAGGATGATAAAATGCTAACCAAAAAATGCCTGTTCTCATCCGTCCAAAATCAAAGTATGATATAAATTTAATTTTAAATATAAGAAGCATATTGTGTCAAAAATTAAACAGGTAGTACCTACAATCAAATTTTGTAGTTGACTTTAGAAACTGATGGATAACGGATTTCTTTAGAAATTTTGAAAAGATGGATTTATGAGTTGCCGAGTACATATTACTAAATCATCCCCCCAGAAAGTTAATTTTATAATTAGAAAAAATTATAAGTTGGGGTATTACTTTCTTTAATTAATAAATTAGATATAAAGTACAGTTCTTTTGAACGGGAGTGTTAGCTTTAATGTTGAATTCCAACCTTGTGGATTGATAAATGTATAAAAATTAAAATTAAAGTGGAAGTCAGTATCACTTACTACCTACACAAAAATATTCTTCCGCAATTAGCTGAAATAGTTATTTGTTAATTTTAGTACAATTGTACAAAACTTAAAGTTATTTTCTGATGTTTTGAACTGACTTCATTTTATAACCAATAATAAAATTAATTAATTAAGCAAGTTTTATAGTTATTAATAATAGCAAGTACAATAAACAACTTTGCAACTTTTTGTGGAATGATACTTATCTGTTACATAGGACGTAATTAGAATTTGGACTGATAAAATTCTTTCGGTTGATAAGATGCTTGTACACATTATTATGTTGTGGTTCTTTCCTTTTCTGAGAAAACTATGTGGTTTTATATTTATATTCTTTTTACATTATTGTTACAGTCATTTCAAACCTTAAGGGTGCCCAGTAGCAGACCGAAAAATGAACTAAATAGATTTTTTCATTTTACGGTCGTAATTCCAACTTTGAAAAAAAGATCGACATTTCAATTGATAGATTATGTCTAAATCTCTGGGGAAGACACAATATTTTTTTAAATTGTTTAGTGTTTAATTAATCGTTCATTCTTCGAAGGAAATTGCATTTTTAGACGAGGAGAGAGCATTTTTCGCTTCGACTTTTATATCAGTGCAAAGAAAACATTGAGCTCTATGGGGAAGACTCGGTCATTTTTGTTTAAAATTTATATTTATCAAAATATTTGCTTTTTAAAAAAATACTGAAGAATGAAAATAAAGTGAAACTAAGCAACCCTATTTACAAATGATTCGTTTCAATAAATGGTTGAGTTTTACACAGCAAGGAGCCTTGCCGTCCGACCCTTTCAGGTAATCAGTTCAGGTACTTTAGGTCATAAAACTCATAAATACTCTTAGCTGACCAACATTGTTGAAACTCTTTTACAAGTCGACTTCTTTCATTGCTGACATAATTTGATTTAAAAATATGCAAATTTTTATAATTTTATACATTCTACTAAAACATTTTCTTTCAAAAATTATTCAAATATTTTTTATTAATCTGTCATTTTATATATTAATCAATACACAAAACTGACAAGATTTAGATTCTCATCACTTCACTAACCACTTATTTACCTGAACAATCATGTTTATTTAAATTTAATTTTTTGATACTGTTTTCCGCACCACCTATGAGGTAGAGTATTATAGGCACGTTTTTTACGTGATATCTCCAGTAAACCTATTCCACTGTTACTATTTATTCCTGTGTGTGTTTATACTAGAAGGTCAAAAGATTTATATGAACTGCACATGACGCGAATGCAAATAAAAAACTTTAATTGTACAATTTTTTCTTTACAATTTGTCTAATGGGTTGACTTGTTTAATAACGAGAATCTACTCTCTTCGGAAGTAAGGCATATAAATACAATTTTTCTAGGGCTCTATCATATTATTTTCCCAAAATTTATCATCTCGTTGAATTAAGCATTATTTAAAATGGACATTTTATATATTTCTATGATAGCGTTTTTGTTTATTAAGCCGTCTGGTGATGCCGCTAAAAATGTACAAACCGCATTGTCTTAATGTCAGTTTGGTGTTATTGCAAAATGCTTCAGTTGCCCTTGCTTCATTTTCTATGCAAAGATTTTGGGAGAGTACATGCTGAACTAGATTTGCAGGGATGTAAAATGTTTTTCACAGTACAGTAGGATTAGCCGTGTTACTTGTTCTCTCATTTTGCAAATTTTACCAAAATAATGTTCGGTTAGTCTAAAGGATTTTTCTGCGCATCATTCTGGATTATTGCATTCGCCAATTGTGTTTTGTTCGATTAAAAAGACATCGACGTTTGAAAGTTTTTTGTGAAATACTTTTTGCGCTGTGACATATCAGTTATTTCAATTGCCTCATTAGATACATCGTCGCCCGAGAACTTGTATGATCCACAGACCGGAGCGCGCTCAGGCCAATGTCGACTCTATAAACCACCAGAAATTCAGCCGGAAATAGTTATTATTTAGATGCTTTTGTTTACACACATCTCACATGTTTCACTCGATTTTGACATGCAACTATTTTTTTGTTTAACTAAGAATTAATTCTTTCATTGCGTTTGATACTAACGTCCTAAATTAGTGGAAACTAGTGGAAACTACCTAAACTAGTGGAACAGTAATCATGCAATAGATTTTTTTGGGAAAGTACAGTTATTTTTATGTTTTAGCAGCAATGTGTTCTATTTTCTATTAATTTTTACATATTTTTAGTCACAATTTTTCAACAAAACATGAAAGTAGCCATTCCTCGAATGGACCCTATTACATACAATACTTTCTTAGTTTACTCTCGGTAAGTAACATACATAAAGTCAACGCACAAAAAAAAAAAAAAAACAAAAAAATCATGTTGGTAGCGGAATACCAGTAATTTCACCTTTCTTAGGTTTTCAGACTGCTAATTATCATCACAGTTGACATTTGAATTTTAAAACTCCACAAACAAGAATTGCTTCCTCGCCAGCAATTTGGGTTAATCACCTAAAGTTAGGACTGAGCAGTGAATGAGCTCGTACGTAATATCTCTTCTTCTGCGTTCTTGAAAACAGTATTAACAAGGTTAACCTCAACGTGATTTGATACGTCAGAATATAAGTGACAGAATAGTTACCAAAATTATTACCAAAATCCACGTTTACAATTCAAAATCCATAGTTACATTGTGAATATTTACGAAGGTCAACTGCCAAGTGGTTTTTTCATTGTGCGGCGACTTCATAAAATTAATGATACATAACAGTATCATATTAAACAGTAATAAAACGCGTCCACATAAAGTCGAACCGTTGAAAGATTATACAATATCGTTAAAAGGTAGGAAATTGTTGAATCTGTTCATTATCGAACCTCTGGAATTCGCAAGGCTGTTGATTTTTAATTTAAATAATGTATATTTCTTCAAATTAAATATGGATGTTATGACAATTTCTTACGACAAAAAAGTGGTATGTATTTAAATTAAGATTTAAATACATACCACAAAATGAGAACTCGAAATACGAGAACTTCTTAAAATTAAGTCTTTTCGTATAATATGTATTATCTAATTAGTTTTCAGCAAAAATATATTCGGTGTATTTTTTGAATTGTATTTATTTTTATTTTCTCTGGAAAGAACACTAAAAATTAAAAAGATGACGTTAGTTTCATAAGCTTCTAATTTTCCGAATTTAAGATTTATATTTTAGGTAAAAAATCTGTAAAATTATGTGTAGAAAATAGGAACATTTATTAAAGCACAAGCGGTCGCATGTCATGACATAATTTTCATTAAATAGGTACATATATGTTATTTGATGAATTTTTGAGATGTGGTTATTAAAGACCAACAGAAAACGGGAAACCTACGTTTTCGTATCGTATGAGCTGCGAAACTTAAAGAAAACATGACATTAGATACTATTAGTGCTAAATCTGTGGGTCTAATTAGAATGAACAATTGAATATTTTCCAAGCATAATTTTTATAATCTATATTTTATTTATTTTTTCATAAAAAGCGGCATTCGGCCACATTAATTTAAAAAGCTTTTATAGAATATTTCAAATACAGTTCATGAGATATAAACGAGCCAGTTTGACTTTTTTTTAATTACAGTAAGAGTAAATATAATTTCAGGTTGAAATTTAATTTTCTTTGGTCAATGATTGTCTAGAGAGGTAAAAAACGGAGAGGAAGTTTGATGTAAAAAATTTTCACTTTTTTTAGTCCGTATTTTAATTATAAAGGTTACTAAATAACTATCCTTGTACGAGTCATTAAAAAACTCACTATTTAACTAGCATTTCCAGTTTATCAAGTTTATGTGGATTGATAGGGGATACACTTGTAACTTTTATTTACAGTAGTTCGACAGTTTTTGTGCAGTCGTCTTTTGTAGTAAATCTCAAAACAAATTGCCTCACCTCAACGTGCGTCGAACAGTGCGTTAGATTATTTTTTATTATTTATTCAACAGCGCTATCTTCACGAGCACGTTCGTTTGCTTTAATTTCACGTGTACATAACATTTTGATCAATCTTTCATTGATATATGGCTCATTAATTATTTAGCACCATATTCGCAGCAATTAGAGCTTTTAGTTTTTCATAACATTGTATGTATTTGTGGGACGATACAATTAATACTACATCATGTACACATTTATATAACAAATGCATACAAAACATAAGCACATGTTTCACGAGACACTACTAGTTTTTGCATTACACCGGCTTCAGTGTGTTGTGTAAATATAGACAAACATACCAGACCCCATATTGCCTTTGGTACTTGACATTCTCTACAATTTTAAAACTTATTACAAATTGTTAGAAACCTAGTACAACAATAAACGCCGGCCACGTAATCACTTCGTACATCATCACTTTCCTATAATTAGTAAGTTGATCGTTTAATTTATGTCAATGAACGTGGGTGTATATAGTGTTGATCAATGTAATGTACTTTTTTAATTTCCGCTCTAAAAACAGAAGCAATAAATTTTTGTTTAACTATTGTATGTTGTTATTACATTTCTACGACCGTTTTATGATGTACCTAAATTACAAAGAATACCAGTTATCGTGAGGTTCTCCTTGAATTGTAACATTCATACATTTGTGTTAGTCATGATGCAACGACAAATTTGCACTATTTATTTTTAGGTTGTAAGATCCCGTGATGGATGACGATGATGAATTCTTTGATACTATCTCAGTCAGTTCAGGAGTTAGCAGAAGAAGGTTTGATAACAGAGATTATCTTAGTCTGTCAAGAAATACGGTTTACCATTCAGCGATAGATTTAGATAACATGGAACTTACACGTTTGGACTGTCCAGAAGAGGGGAATTCACAAAATAAGGTGTCTAGAAATAGAGATGTTAAGACATACAAGCAGTGGAGAGATAGGGTATCGTGATTTTTTATTCGAATTTTACGCACCATCTTTAATCTGATGCATGAATAATACTATTTACCTTATTTCAACACTGCCTTGGCTTTAGCGGTTTGGGAAAGAATTGAAAAAAGTGTTTGTATGTTTTGGAAAAATTATTAATTGGATAAGTTAATCAGTACATGCATAATTCTCATTTTGTTTCGAGTTGCTGCGAGGTTAAGTTTCAACAGTGTGATGTCACCGGCTGAAATACAGGTGAACAGTTTCGTAAAGTGTACTTGTAAATTACAGTTACGTTTACCCTACTTACTGCAAGTGTACTAGCTGATCGGAGTGCATCGCATAAAATTTTGAATATTGAAGAGTTATCTACCTTATCTTAATCGCAGGTTTATTTGACAAGAGAGTGAGTGCTAATTCTTTTACTTTCTGTAATAAATACCTGTCGGCTTAATCCAATTTAAAGAGCTTTCTTTAGGTGTATTTAAATGAGACACAAATGTTAAACCAAATTTTATCTTCGACGGATAGTTGGCGTTATAACAGGGTTAAGGTCAGTACACAACTCAAAACTAAGTTCTGTTATGTGCATGTTTATATTCTACACTTTCTGATCCTAATTTCATTAACTTGACACACACTTGTTGCTTGTCTAACCTGGGATAATACACTAGTTGAATACCTGTGATTTTCATTTGATAACAAAATGCCCACTCTGCTAATCATTATGTAAGAATTGATATTTACGTAATTATAAGCCAATAGGAAATTAATCAAAAAATACGCACTTTACGCATGGTCGATGAACTGGACAAATTGTATGTACATGTAAATATTTATATTATACGACGATAAAAATAGTTGCATTGTTTTTTGTCATGAAATTGTGCAGCCCCAAAATTATTCAACAAAATCTTATCAGTAAATTGTTTGCACATGCGATAAAATATGACATTATTGTATTGAAATACTACTTGCTAAAATATGTTACCCTGTCAGATATAATACCGTGCTTAAAATACACTAGTACAGTGTTATCAATGCCACTCGTTATCGTGAAACTGCTTCAGTTATTAACAGAGATGTGGGCAGTTTAATGCTATCGTTTGTTCACAATGGACAAGGTAACAATACAAATTCTTCAATTTCAATTTAACAGCGCATTCATTTAATGATGCCACATTGGTTTCTCTACTGTATTCCACCCGCTAAGAGGTTTCTGTCGCGCCAACTATCAACATTTTTGAGATATTTTGTTAATCAGTGCTCGAAATCTACACTTTTAGCAATGACGCGATAGAAACTTTGTGTTTATTAATGATACATTTTTTGATTTTGTTTTAGCAATGGCGTAATTTTACCCATAGCGATCACTGTGTCGACTTCGTTTTGGCTTATGATAAAGATGACAAACCTGAACATGCGGAAAAAAGGAAGGAGTTCGAAAAAAATTTGGAAGCCGTAGGACTAATTTTAGAAAAAGAAGAAAGTCAAAGAATACATTTCGTTAAAATCCATGTACCGCGAGAAGTATTGTGCCAATATGCAGAGATTCTAAAATTGAGATTACCCATTAGATATGTAATTTTTCCAAATTTGATAACGGCAATTTATTTATCTTTTTATTACAGGATGAACCGATGTCTGAAAGTTCTAATGTATTTTATTCTACTATTAACAAAGTTTTGGACTGTTTAAACGTCAGATTAGACCCTCAAATATTTCCACCTAAGCAGTACAAATTGACGGCAGAATTTAACAGAGAAAAAAACTATTTGTAAGTACCTACTATAGTCTTTTTTGCCACTTCTATTGAAATACCACTTGTTGATCGTAAATTTGGCAGTCTTCATATTCAGACAATTTTCTAACGAAATCAAGAGGTGGTGTTTCAACAGAAATGGCAGAGGCAATACATTTGTTTGAATCTTACTTATTGAAATTATTAGTGGATTTTTTTTTAATCTGTCTAATTAGTTTGACGAAAAATTAACTAAAATGCCTACAGTTCTAATGTGCAACAATAATGAGACAACTATAAAACAACTCAAATTTCATAAGACATATTTATTCTTAACAAAATAGTAAATGCGGTTAATTATTATTTGTATTGTTTTAATTGTTTATTTTGGTTATTGCGACGAGACCCGCTAAATTTTATTCATAGTTTCATATATCGACTGCTGGGGACATTTTTGTTTTTCAATACATATAATTTATAATAAGTTAGTTGTAACCAGGATAACTTAATCAAATAGGTTAATTAAATGGAGTTTACAACTTGTTTTGCAAGACTGATTTCATTAACAGTGTGAATAATGACATAAATTTGCTGAGCTAAGTCATTTGCAGTGAACACAGTCTGTATACAGGATGAATCACTAAATGCACAAATTTCCATATCTCATTAACGATGAGAAATAAAAAAAAAGTCAAAGACTGAAATTGTACAGTTCTTAAGCAGCATACACTAAAATTGGTGATATTTTAGATTTTTTTATAAAGACTCGGTATATTAAGACTTCATTTAATTTAGTTGATTCCTAACAAAAAATCGCAGTAGTGTTAACACCTGATTTATCTCCTTATAAAATATTACAACGCAGGTGTTAACACTACTGCGATTTTTTGTGAACACCTGTATGTTAAAAAAATTCTAGAAAATCGGATTAACGTGGCAATATCGCATGGGAATTTCAAAAATGAATCACGGTTATAAAACCTAAGAAATTGGTTTAAGTGGCAAAATGGATTTATTTATTTTTAAAAATTTATTTTAGAAATACTTAACAAAAAATTGAAATTTAATCCGTGTTTTGCCGCCCCCTTGGGGGTTGCGACCCACCGGTTGGGAAGCCGTGGCCGAACACAAGTCATACAAGTAAACCAACGTAAACTTTGTTTCATATTACTCTTAATCATGCAATTTTGACAAAGTTACCTATCAGGATTTTGGATAGTGATTCATGTAAACTTTTGGAAACAAATCTTAATTCTTTGGTCGATCGAGTCAAATTAAATCATCAGATCAATTAAATCAAAACATATAGCATACAAACTTTTTTCAGATTTGACGTAGATTCGCCTGATTTTTTTAATGAAGCAGTCCGTATCACCGTTGCTTCCTACATTTTAGAAAGAGAAAAATTCGGCAACGACGATCAAGACAAGGGGATTCACAGACTGATTTCTGAAGACGTTTATAAGGCTGCATATCCATTGCATGACGTAAGTTTACTAAATTTTCTTGTAAATAAGGTACATATTTTAAAATATAGATAACTTGAATTTTTGCCGTTTCAATCATTCAGTATCCGACGGAGATAAGCCTGATTCCAACCAATCAAAAATATAACAAATCGTAAAAAATATGAGAGCAAAGCTTTTTAACTGTATTGTTCTATAGATAGATTCACTCCTGTTGAGAAAAAACATACGGAAACACTTTTTCTGAAACAAAGACAATTCTCACATTTAGTCCATGTTTCATTAACTTTGGCGATAAAAACCTCATTACATTTTTCTCTATATTGTAGGGCGATTTACATGAATCTGACTCCAAACGATCGCTCCTTCTTCACCATTGGGCCCAAATATCAAAGTGGGTAAAATATCAGCCAATCGACGACATCAAAGAATATTTTGGGGTAAAATTCGCCCTCTACTTCACATGGTTGGGCTTTTACACTCACATGTTAATCCCAGCAGCCTTGGTAGGGGTTCTGTGTCTAATCTACGCCGCTACAACTGTAAATTCAGATGCTTTATGTGACGATATTTGCAATTTGGATATCGTCATGTGTCCCAGGTGTGACAAAGTCTGCGACTACTGGAAATTAAGCGACGGTTGTATGTATTCAAGAATCCAACATTTCGTCGACAATCCCGCGACAATTTTTTTCGCAATTTTTATGTCTTTTTGGTCGATTTTATATTTAGAATTATGGAAAAGATACAGTGCTGAAATTACGCACAGATGGGGTCTGACTGGTTTTGATTTAGAAGCCGAGCCACCGAGACCTGAGTACTTGATAAGATTAGCTGATGCGAAAAAAAGAAAGTTAAATGTTATTACGAATTTGGACGAGCCCGCTGTTTCTTTCTGGAAAGTAAGGCTACCGTCGCTTATCTTAAGCTTCGCCGTTGCTTTAATGTGGGTTTTTATCGCGTTATCGGTTGTTTTCGGTGTGGTAATGTACAGAATGTCGCTGATAACATCAGAGGTTTTATATGACGATAAGACGAGTTACCGTATTTACGTACTGCCAATCACTGCAGCCATTATCAATTTGGTTTGTATCAATATCCTCAATATTGTTTACCGAAAACTAGCAACATGGTTGACCGAAATGGAACTACAAAGAACTCAAACCGAATACGATGATAGTTTAGCGTTAAAGATATACATGTTTCAATTTGTCAATTATTATTCGTCAATTTTCTATATTGCTTTTCTGAAAGGACAATTTATTGGATACCCAGCCAAATATAATCGAGTTTTTGGGGTGCGTCAAGAAGAGTGCAACCCAGGTGGTTGCTTAATGGAACTTACTATTCAATTAGCTATTATTATGGTGGGCAATCAGGCTTTAAATGCAGTAATAGAAATAGGTGTGCCTGTATTATTAAAAATATACACCAGTGCGAGAATCACAGTGGGAATAAAAAAAGAATCTACTCAGGAAGAAGTTATCATTAGCTGCAACCAGTGGACTGAAGATTACAAGCTTTCTGATATGCAAAGTCTGAATTTATTTTCGGAATATCTTGAAATGGGTTAGTATTCAAAAACAACGAAACGAGCTATCCTTTCTAACTGTCTCAGTCTGCACTTGAGTTTCGTTTAGCAGGAATTGACACTTCAATGTCTTCATTTGAATCGTTGTAACGAAGGATACGTTATCTGTTAAGCGTATATCAAATAGCCACAAACAACACACGCTGACAAATTTACAAGTTCTAATTGTAAACATATCATTCGTGGAATTCCTGCATTGAAATAACCAGACAGGGACACCTGTGTAATTTCCTACTATCATATATTTTTTTCTTTCAGTTCTTCAATATGGATTTGTGACAATCTTCGTAACAGCATTCCCTCTGGCCCCCCTATTTGCTTTAATCAACAATATTCTAGAAATGCGTTTAGATGCAAAAAAATTCATAAAATATTATCGGCGGCCTGTACCGCAACGTGTTAAGGACATAGGAGTTTGGTACCCCATAATGGCAATAATCGGGCGAATTTCAGTTGTTTCTAATGCCTTTATCATAGCATTTTCGTCACATTTTATACCAAAATTAGTCTACATGATGGAAGTAAGTCCCGATGGTACCGACGACGGATTTCTTGAATTCAGTTTGGCCTATTTCGATGTTCACGACTTTGCGCAGGGAACAGCTCCACAGAATTCCACGTATGATGTATCCTTCTGTCGATATGCTGAATACAGAAATCCACCAAATGTTACGGGAGGATTAGTGAAATACAAACGGCCTTTGATTTACTGGCATATCCTGGCAGCCCGATTAGCGTTTGTCGTGGCATATCAAAACGTAGTTAGTTTTGTTGTGACCGCTGTGGAATGGACTATACCTGATGTGCCCAGGAAACTTAATGATCAAATAAAAAGAGAAGCATATAAAACAAATGAAACGATTATTAAACATGAAAGGGAACGAGCTCGACTAAGGCCGCGCAGAAGTAAGTTTTTGGGTGTGTAACCGCAAACGTTCAGTTTTTATTTTTAGATAAAAACCGCGATTCGATTCTGTCAAGAGAGACAATGTATTATGACGCAAATGGGGGCTTCCATTCAGATCTAGCCAATACATCTAGTCCTCAAGCAGCACAACATGATGTTGGCAATTCTTAGCACATGTTTATATATTTTATTACGTGTACATAATTTTTGGACCAAGGAGGTGATGAGACATCTCCAGAGAGATTTAGGTATTATTAGTCTCATTGAGGCCTTTTATACTTGCCTTCTAATTCTATGGCTTAGATACTTATTCATCTTTAAAGTACCGAAACCAAGTTTTAAATTAAGCAACAGTTATAATACTCCAGAGTTTAACTTGCCGTTTTAAAATTGTAACTAATGTGATATTAAAATTTTAATGTAAATAAAACAAGCGACATAACAAATTTTAACTTGCCGAAAATACAGTTTGTTAAAATAACGTACATTGGTGAAAACCGCAACTTCCACGCTGATAATACAAGTCAACATATCGACCAACTATTACAATTTTTTTTTTAAGTAAAATTTTCACAACTAATTCTTCAAACTGTTCTCAGCAAACTGAATAAAAATGTAATTGAAATGGAATTTGAGAATTTGTACTATTGTTTTTGGTCAGAATATTACTTATCGCAGTAGTATGGTACGGCTATTTAGTTTTTATTCCATATGACCGTTGATCATCTGAAATTACGTGTAAATCGTTAATTTTTATAAACTGACGTTTCGCTATGTCAAAAAAAGTCTATGTAACCTACAGTTTTCATTTACTGGTCCTGTACATTCAGTCAAGGTACAAAATTAGGTTTTGTGGAATTTTGATTAAATGATTCTACTACGACGTAAAAATTTGTGCCAGCCTCTAAATAAAAAAAAGGATATTGCGATTCTGTGACGTAATTTTACGTTATTGCCAAAGAAGTGACGCTAAAGAGATTACTTAAGTTTTGTTACTAAATTGTTTTTCTTTAAAGTAAAAAGATTTTAAAATATTGTTTGTAAATTTTAAAGCATTTCTAGGCTGTAGTCAAAAATCGCACTAGTCTGAAACAGTTTTGGTTGAAAGAATGAATTGATATTTTAGCCGTTTTTAATTAATTCGGGAAAGTACAAGGACTGGTTTTAAATAATTTTTGTTACATTAGTAACAGCATATTTTTAATATCTTTGGTAAAATATTTTTTGTAAGTACCTGAGAACGTATGCTTTTGTTTATATTATGAATTAAAGTGTGGTTGTTTTTGTATTTCATACACTGAAAGAGTGGTTAGAACATATGAAAACAGTTAAAGGAAATACTTGAACAAATTTGACATCATGAAATGGTTGTTTACGCAAAATTTTGTTAAAAATTTAAATGTATATATATATTACCTTACCCTTGGTTTATTTCATAAGGCGACATTTGTGATACTCAAATTTTTATTGTCTTTGCCATTTCAATTGAAACACCACCTGTTGATTTTGCTAAAAATTTGGCAATTGGTAACAGCTTTCGGTTGATTGACAACGGCTTTTAGTTAGAAAATTGTCTGAATATGAACGTTGCCAAATTTACGATTAACAAGTGGTGTTTCAACAGAAATGTGCTAGGGTGTTGAATCAGTTTGAGTTTGTTTATACTCACATACTAACACAATTAACCTACGAAATTAAACAAAGTTTGTTGCATTTAATTTTTTAATCTTTAAAAAGTATTAGATTTATTATCTATAGGACCAATATTTGCCTTTGTGTGTGTTGTGAACTTTTCTCTATTTTTAGTTATTTACTGTAAGGAATTAGGACCTGTATAATTCCCGCTGTGACATTTTTCTGTACAGTTAATAATTATATTGATGTTTCTGATATGAGATGTGCAGAATATTGTAAATACGAAAATGTTGTGTCTCTTTAAAAATATTTATAATGTTAAAAATATACGTTACATAACTGACAATAAATTGAGATTATGTCGTTGTTAACTACAGTGTGAGTTTTGTGTTAAGTACTAACGCATTTAATATTGACGGGTTTTTTTATAAGTAAATTTAAGTATGTGATATGTTTTAAAATTTTGTGTTTATTTATTATACTTTTAAGTAAGTAATTTTGTGTTAGTGAATGTATGAAAATTTATTTTATGATAACGGTAATTTATAACAAACATTATTTATTAAGTACCTACCAACGTGCTGCCGATAAAAATCGTCGTCTAGTTGGTGTGGAATGATGAGATGTCTTTCTCATTTCCTGAAGGCATAGCAGACGATAAGAGCACGGGAAGTATGTTTGTTTATCCAGGCCCAATAAAAGGACGATTTTTGTTGGTAGATTTGCTTATCACTTATCAATCACGTACTATTTACATAACTATTAATAGTTTTATTTATATACATATGTTATATTTTATTATTTTAGTTGTGTGTGTATCGAACTTTCCAAGTTCAAAAAGTCACTACAGACATCACATTATTAAGTAATGATAATGGGTACCGTTATTTTTCTAGTCTACAAAATAATTTTGGTGCCCAGTGTCTCTATTTATTAGATATTGTGTACAGTTACATGTAATTTTCTACTTGAATTAATATTTTTTTATATGGTGCATGGACTCAATCAGCCAATAGATAGCTTTTGTGTATTTTATGCTTTGTTAATCAAACTTTTATTTGAAAAAAAGTGTAATAAAAACTGTAATTTATTTATTGTTGCGTATTATGAAACCAAACGTTTACGTTTAAAAAAGCTGTTTAAGTATATAAACCTGCAAAAGTACTACATTAAAATTAAAAGCGTAATACTCTCAGATCACTTGCAATGAGGACACTTTCCAGCGAAATAACTGACGAAAAATCGATATGATATTAAATTATATGATCTATTATAACAATAGCTACAATATTCACACGTTATCGATGTTATTATTAATGGTTACCTGTTATTTTGTAACTTGGGAGCATTTTCATGAAAATATTGAGAACCACTACTTCATTACTAAAAACGGTCTTCTTGACTTGCTTGTGACTAAACAAAAACCTTCTCAGAATTTACAAAGCTTTTTTCTGAGACATAGATCACTCTAATTCTAACTGTATTGTATATAAAATCGTATGTTATCTGCTTTCTGTGCTGATAACCAATCGTCTTGTTAATATGCAGCCAGCTTTTTACATTTGTTTGGTATAAAAACACTAAAGTGTAGAAGAATTTTTGAATTACAAGACAAAATATGCAATCATTTTCGGAAAGAAAACGCATTTTTTTTTATTTTGCAAAATACCCTTTTCGTATTTTATTCTTGGTAAGTATTTCTGGTGATAAGTTAAGAGTTTGCCAAATCGGACATTTCCAACGGAATGCAACAAAAATTCCAAGAATCGCTATCATATTTTTATTACTGAAATTATCATAAATTAGTACACAAAGCATGCAAAAATCTCAAAAGAATCAACAAAATTCACAATTGGCCAATTTTTTATTCGGCTAAAAATCGTTTGCTTACATTTCGAGCGCACAGTTGTCTTTTTGTCTGTATTGCTGAAGCCACAAAATATGACTACGCTCTGAATATACAAGTAGCTCACCGGACGTTTTGACTTTTAATAGATTATTCTCCTAAATAAAAAATTAAAAAGACGGAGAATGCAAACGTAAAGTGAAAGTAAACAACTGTATGCAGAAGTCCCAAAATTCGCTTCATTCCCGTGAATCACGTGCTGCCTGCCGCAAACTGGGCGACAATTCGTAAAAAGGATTATTATCCAGGCTTTAATCGTGTATAAGAACTGTAAGGCCATTAAGTTGACCAATATAAGAAAAGCTGCTTTCATAATATGGAACCGTTTTTATGTTCAAAGTTATGTCACGGACAAAAAATCCGGTAAGAATGAAGTTGAAATGATGTGGTTATAAATTTGATAATTTTAAATAAACTCTCACGAGGTTGATCGTTGGCCCCTGAAGAGACACCACTAGGCCAAAGATAAATGATGAATGAACACAGGAATGTTATCGTTGACTTCAAAGCAAGTCGCATGGAACAGATATAATTGCTGTTGCCATCCTCGCCAACCGTGTTAAGCTAGGTGCTACGAGTAAGAGAAGAAGGTATTTAGTAGTATTCCACGCAGTGCTTGTAATGTAGGTATTATTAGAAGTCATTTTCTTAGAGCCTCGAGAATGCGTAGTACTTTATACCTAACAAAAATCCGTGTATTTTCAGAATTCACTATGCAACATAATCCTTGAAAATTATTAGGCTTCATCCTTAAGTATAGGTGATATATATTCCTGATAAGTTGAAATTTTCAGGGAAGGTAGTATATTGTGACAAATACACAAGCACTAGGGTTGCCTTTCGACATCTTGACGAGAATGATCTGGGGACCCCTGTTGAGGGCCAATTACTTAGCTTATTATGACATCGAAGCATCTAATTGGCACACTAGGCCCCATGAACTCTAAAATTTGTTTTAGAGTTCATAGGGCCTAGATAATATGGGAATATATAGGGTTGCCTAAGAAATCTTAATTTGGTTCCTAAGCAATTCATAAAATTATTGTATAAGTTGCCTACGTATCGAATGTAGACTTGTTAGGCAACTCTATGTATTCACATACTGCTCTATGAGCTCTACAATTTGGTACCAATTAGATGCTTTCATGTCTTCAGTTAAGTCATGAAGGTAGAATCATTCTACCTCCACGAGTTAAGTCGATATATCGAATTTGCTCCGAAAGATAGTCCCCTCCCTGCCATTGTATTGTCACAATATACATATTGTGACGGTCCACCCTTGAGGAGAAACCGCAAAATACCGCAATAAGAAACTTCAGAACATAATTCTCTAACTCAAAGACTAAATCCGCATATTCGCAAAAAGCAAGCAAATTGCGCATGTCCAATCGCGTATGTATTCCAACCACCAAATAATTGCAAAACCCATATTCGCACACCATTGAGAAGTACTCACTCAGTCAAGCCTAGCTAAATACCACACCCAAGCAAAAGTTCCAAGATGGCGACAGCATGTGACGTTAACATGATAACAAGACAAAGAAGAATCCACAACGTTGGCACGTGATTCTAACGACATTCAATTAAAAGCACAAGAGGAACCAACACCAAATAAATCACACCAAATTAACTACCAAAGGCGTTACACAATAACGCAACGCAAGATAAAAGAAGCATAAAACAAACCAAATCTCACGCATTACCATCAATCTATTTTGCGACTTATCAGTTTGACGAAATTCTCGGAACAACGAAACTAAGACTTATAAAACCTCTAAATAAAGCCCAAAAGGATTGCATTCTTATCAACTGACCCAAATACGAATACCACGATGCAACACGTGCACTCATAAAGATGCCACCAAAGACATAATTAATGAGAAAAACGCCGTATAAAAGGTCGCAAAATCGGGAAGTCGAGGAAGTCGAATCCAGTGTGCCACGAAGACGACAAGTACCTACAACGATCGATACCCAAGTAGAGCCGTGCTGAAGCCTTGTCCAGCTGATAGTTCCTTGCCCGAAATTGCGAAGGAAGACTTAGAAAAGTTCCATGGTTTTTTGTAAGTGAAAGAATCTAAATTTAAACCGTCATGCATGTGTTATCTTGCTTCTGTGCCTTCTTCGATAATCGACTGATGTGTGATTAACCTGGACCTCCGTCATTATACGAAAAATTTAACTTGTTAAATTGGGGAATGGTCCATTACTGTCATCGAAAGGGCGAGCGTTTATCAACTAAGAACTGAGGAATTATCTGAGAGATGGGTTACTAGTCTGTCGCTTAAATGCAAACGCCATTAACAAAATGATGAAGATAACGAAAGCGGTCACTGCACTCTGCGGTCCCTGTTTTAATGTGAATCTCGGAATTTTGACGAATCTTGGGGGGATTTCCGGATAACCCGTGTACCTTCATAAGAGCTTTAAGACTTCCCGTAGTTAATGATTAATCGCTCATTTATGAATATATGTAGTATTGTCATTTGTTATTTTTGCTCTAAGGTCCGGAAACTTCCTTCCATGATTTTGAACAGTTTTTTTTTTATTCTTTTTAATTTATTTATGGATATGCTAATCATTCCAAATTTTATTACTGCGACTTAGGGTAAGCGGGAATGATCCTTGTGAAAAGTACCATTTGCAAATTGGACCTCATACGTCCATGTCAATTTAACGTTATATTTGTAATATTTACTGCCAATTAATTTAAGTGTTATGCTAATATTTTATTAATCAGGGATAGGGAAACAATATTTAACAGATATTTCAAATAACGTTTTCGTTTTAATTAGCTTTAAGGGGACATTGATATTTGGCCTTTTGTAGTAACGGTTGATTACGATATATTTAATTGAAGTGAATAGTAACTCTTTTAGTTTTGTTTTATCAAGTAGATAGGGATTATTTAGCGGACGCGTCAAATTACGATTTTTGGATTTGTAGCCTTAAGAATGTATTTATATTTAATCTTTGTCTGGGACTTACAATTTTTACCATCAATTCTGTTTGAATTTAGATTTAATATACTTGTTAAATGAGGACTACATTTTACTTATTACCTCTCCCTGATTGCAATTTAGCTATCCATTTCCAAGGAAATGGGCCTACACCCAAATAAATAATTTTGTTAGTGTCCATGCTTGGCCACCGATAATAACACGGATGGACCAGAGATATGGGGATGGACACGACAATATACTTCCTTAAAAATCTCAGCTTATTAGAAATGAGCCTTGATTGAGTCAATTGAACCAACAACCTTCGCCTTAGTATAGTTCAACAATTTTACGGCACGATTACTGAGTTTACCAGACGTCCGTCAGTGCTCCCCTATAGATGTAAAATATGATGATGATTTTGAATATATTTTTTGTTAAAATTTAAATACCTAAGGTAAAAAATGGGTTTAAAAGTTATTTAGGCAAAACGTCCTTCTACAGGCCAACAAATATCGATTGCTCAAAAAATTATAAAATTAAATTTTGCGAATTTCATCGACTAAAGATAGCATTTTGCAATTTTGTTCGGGAATAGCTGTGAAATGACCTCAATTTTATCAGGAATATTTTATTTAGTAATGAGGCCAGATTTTCCAATAATAGCAATGTAAACAAACACAGGTTATACATTTACATACTATTATTCACAAGAAAATCCGCGATGGATTTTTGAAACTCTTTTTCAGAGAGTTATTTTCATCAACTTTTATTTTAAATGTAGGTATTGCGTGACAGTGAGACTTTGTTTTGACGTTTTTAAAACCACAGACTTGGATTTCTGATATTTTTGAAATTCTAATGTGAATCAAGGAATGAATGAATAGGAATGTATTTCGGGTTGCCGCTCACCACAAATTACATTCGTCATTTAAGTTGAATCACCCTATATATGAATTTGAATAGTTGCAGTGTGGTATTAATAATAACAGTACTGTATACTCATATTTTCTGGAAAAAGGGGTGGGCTGTTTGTGACTTGATCAATAAAATAGATTGTCTCATTAATTAATTTTTTTATTCAGCAAAATTTTGAGCTGACGTCATCAATTTTTAGAGAGGGAATAAACGGGTAAATTTTTATTAACGATTTACTATGCATACGATAACCTTAAAACGTTGGAAAAATTACAGAGCATTCAGTTTTGTAATTTCGAAGTTAAATAACAAAATGTTATTATACAATTTT